TTTTTAATTTATTGAAGAGATGAGGTCTCGCCAAGTTGCCCAGGCTGGTCTTGAACCCATGGGCTCAGGCAATCCTCTCACCTTGGCCTCCCAAAGTGCTGGGATTATAGACGTGAGTCACCGCACCCAGCTGAATATCTATAATTTTATATATATAATTAAATTATTTAGTCAGGGTCTTATTCTGTCACCCAGGCTGGAGTGTAGTGGTACAACTTGTAAGAAGATACTTTGTTTATTACAAAACAATAAATGCTCAATGCAAAAATATTTCCTAGTTCCTGGCTTACAGATCTAAAATATACTTTGTCTTTATTCTCACATAACACCGATATATTTAAGTCTTTTCTCTTTTTTTTTTTTTTTTTTTTTTTGTTGAGACAAGGGCTTGCTCTGTCACTCAGGCTACAGTGCAGTGGCATGACCATAGCTCACTGCAGCCTCAAGCTCCTGGGCTCAACTGATCCTCCACCTTACCTTGCAGTGTAGCTGGGACTATAGACTTGTACCACCACGCCCAGCTAATTTTTTATTTTTATTTTTGGTAGAGACAGGGTCTTGCTATGTTGGCCAGGCTAGTCTCAAACTCCTGGACTTAAGCAATCCTATTGCCTCAGCCTCCCAAAGTGCTGGAATTACAGACATGAGCCCACACCTGGCCTAACACTGATATATTCAAAGCCCAAGATACAGTCAATCTTTAACTTAAGTAGAATGAAGATCATCAGTTACATCCTAAGTAACAAAATAACAATGATAAAATTAATATCTATTAATATCTATCATTCACTGAACACCTACTTTCCAGGAACCATAGTGTAAGAGCTTAGTATGTCATGCCGTTTGAGTCCCAAATAATCCATGATAAAAGAAGTAATGTGTTCATTTCACAAAGAGATCAAGAAATCAGTCATTACATGGAAGAGATAAAATTAAAATGCAAAGCCTGTCTGCATCAAAAGCCTATGCTCCTATCAATATCCTTTATAATCTCATAAAATTGTCTCTTTATTTAAAAAGTGAAGTCCAAAAATACAAAACAGAGACGACAAAGAGATTTCAAAATTATATATTATATACTTTTATTTACTTATTTTTTTGAGTCAGGGTCTTACTTTGTTGCCCAGGCAGTAGTGCAGTGACAGGATCACAGCTCATGGCAGTCTCGAACTCCTGGGCTCAAGTGATCCTACCGCCTCTGCCTCCCAAGTAACTGGGACTATATGCATGTGCCATTACACTCAGCTAATTTTTTTTCTTGAAACGCCAAGTTCTCGCCAAGGTCTGGCTGGTCTCAAACTCCTCAGTTCAAGCAATCCTTCCACCTCAACCTCCCAGAGAGCTGGGATTACAGATGTGAACCCCCGTGCCTGGCTGATATATACTTTAAAAGAAGAAAATGATATCCAAAAGTAATCTAAAAATTCACTGTTAATTAAACAGCACAGTTCAGTAACTATAGAAGGCTCCAACCCATCCTAGTACATAACTAAGAATAAAAGCATAAGGCTACTTTTTCTTTTAGCCTGTCTCTCCCTATTTCTTTTTTTCATGAGACTCAGTTGTAAAAATTCTATGCAAAATACAACATTGTGACTTTTCAATTAGTGAAATGCTTTCATAAATGTGGTGAATACCTGCCCAAACTACCTCCACCACCTGGCTAACCAAGCCCTAACACTACCAAAATAGTGACAGGGCTTTCAGGGCAGTCCTTACATGACCCTGCCTCCCTAGCCATAGCCAGAAGTCAGCACTGTACCCAATATGGACCAATCACAGTTCCTTTCCTGGCAATGTGGAATTGAAATTAAGATATTTCAGTCTCAATATAACTTCTTTCTAAAGCGGAGGCCATGTAAACTCAGGAACTATTGGCCATGGCCATTTTCTATCACACAGCCTGGGAGGCAGAAGTCAGAGATTGAGATCAAAACAAAAAGAAAAAAAAGATACAAAGAGAAAATTTTCTGATTTCCCTGTTGTGCTCTAATCCCCTGATTCCTGAGGCCTAATTGAATCCAGGTTTAAGGTTCCATGAGAAATCCCTGCATATTTAAAATAAATAATTTTTAAGTTCCACCACTGTCATCAGAGAAGGATGAATAATCTGAGTTCCCAAATAATAAAACATTTACAAACCTCTATTGAACATATGCCAAAAAGTGGCATCAGCACCACCAGACCAAATATTTACAGTCACAAGAACAAAAATTTAGGGTTTTAAGACCAAAAAGTTGTAATGTCACAGTCAGTAGAGACAATCAAGTCCAGTTATTCACTTTATATTTTTAAAAACGCAAGGCCCAGAACGTGAAAATGCTATAAGTAAATGCTATAAGCTACACATTAGTAAAGCTAGATCTGGAACCAAGAAAAGAAGGGTAGTGCATTTCTCAAAGTGTGTCTGTTGATCACCTGCTTCAAATTACCTGTGGAGCTTGTTTAAAACCCAGAGTCTTGGGTGTCACCCTTGACCTACTAAATCAAAATCTCTTGGAGTAAGGCTTGGAAATTTAACTAAGCTCCTCAGTAATTGTTACATATACTATCAGTTGAGGATCCTCTACAGCGGGGAAGGGGATTATTAATAGAATTTTTTTAAAACACTAGAAATTTTACAAGCATTTTCTCATTTGATCCTCAAAACATACCACCAACCCAAACATGATCTCCGTTTTAAAGAAAAAGAAACACAGGCTCAGGAGGTGAGGTAACTCGCCTAAGGATACACAGTTGGTAGATTCAGAACTGGAAGTAAGCTCTGACTTGAGCAACAAAGCTCAAACTTTTTCCATTTCATTATTACTTGGTTCACTTTTTTCACTATGAGAGTTGTAAGGAGTTAAGCTAGTCATCTGGCTAGAAAAGAAGACAGAGACTTAGTATAAAGGAAGGCTAGACTGACTGTAATTTGGACAGAGACAGAAAAGAAAAAAAAAAACTTAAGTTAGAAAAATAAAAGTTGGCTGGGTACGGTGGCTCATGCTTGTAATACCAGCACTTTGGGAGGCTGAGGTGAGAGGACTGCCTGAGCCCAGGGGATCGAGACTTCGTCTCTACAACAATCAAAAAATTAGCCGGGTCTGGTAGTGTGGGTCTGTCGTTCTAGCTACTTGGAAGGCTGAGGCGGAAGATCATCTGAGCCCAGCAAATCGAGGCTGCGGTGGCTGTGAGCGTGCCACTGTACTCCAGCCTAAGCCACAGGTGAGACTCCCAACACACACACACACACACACACACACACAAAAAGTAAAAGAAAAGTTATTAGGCCTAGTGTGTTGACTCATATCTATAATCCCAGCACTCTGGGAGCCTGAGGCAGGGGATCACTTGAACCAAGAGTTCAAGATCAGCTTGTGCAACATA